ATGCTGGTGGTCAGGACTCAGGTCCTCATGCTCATGTAAACAAGCCCAGAGGTGTTTGAAAAAAAATAAAGAGTGCTGCCCAATAGTCAAAATGTTCTTTGTCAGAAATTGGCCACATCCAGCCAATTGCTCTTTTTTTGCTGGAAATTCCCACTTATGGAAGTGGTACCCTTGCACTTGACTTAGAATAATTCAGTATAGGCAGATGCAGAATAAATAAATAACAGCTCGCTAACTGCTGGGATTGTTTCAGCTTTGAAAAGTATGCAGTATGGTAGAAACAGATTAGCATTCAAATCTCACTTATACATCTCCAAGTCTCTCTTCAAAAGCTAATCTCTCTCTCTCTCTCTCTCTCTCTCTCTCTCTCTCTCTCTCTCTCTCTCTCTCTCTCTCTCTCTCTCTCTTTCCTTTTTTTGAGACAGGGTTTCTCTGTGTAGCCCTGGCTGTCCTGGAACGTGCTCTGTAGACCAAGCTGCCTCTGCCTCCTGAGTGTGAGATTAAAGGCATGCACCACCATGCCCGGCTTCAAATTCTAGCTTTTTCCACAAAGTGGGAACAGTGTTTCTCAGCATAGAGAACGGGAGGAGGGCCATGTGAGAGAACATGTATAGTGTCATCCCAGACCTCCGGAGTGGTTAAGAACACGGACTTTGGTCTCAATTCTTTCACTCTCTAATTGGGAGATTTTAAGTCAGTTACTTGGTCTTTTTATTTATTTATTTTTGCATGTGTGCTTTTATTTTTCATTATTAGGCATTATGGCATTTTTATAAGATATCTATCTCTCTCCTACTCCCACTTCTCCATTAGTCTCTTTTCTACTTTCATATACATTCTAAGGAGTAAAGATAGATTAACAAAACATACAGACTAGTTTTCATGGGAATTAAATGAGATGATGCACATTCGAGATTATAGTTGATAGAAACTGATCAAGTTGGGCCAGAGGGACCGAGCAGATGGCTTAGTTGGTAAAGTGCTTACTGCCTAAGTGGGAGGACCCAAGTTCTGACCACCAGCACCCATGTAAGATATCCTACAGTATCCATTGTGGCATACATCTTGAAACCCCACTGCCGTGGGACAGAGACAGGCAGATCCCTGAATCTTACTGCCTAGTTAGCTTGGTTAGATTGGTGAGCCCAGCCGGGCAGTGGTGGTACACGCCTTTAATCCCAGCACTTGGGAGGCAGAGGCAGGTGGATCTCTGTGAGTTCGAGGCCAGCCTGGTCTACAGGAGCTAGTTCCAGGATAGGCTCCAAAGCTACACAGAGAAACCCTGTCTTGAAAAACAAACAAACAAACAAAAAATTGGTGAGCCCATGTTCAATGACAGATCCTGTCTCAAAAATCAACATGGAAAACAAATGGGGAGGACTTCCTCAACGTTAACCTCCAGCGTGGGTACTCCTTCACCCCTAAGTGATCAAGCAGGACTGACAAAGACGGCAAGGCTAGCAGAGCACTTGCCTAGCATGCATGAAGCCCTGAGTTTGATCCTCCGAATTTACTGTACAAATCAGATATCGTGGTGGAAACCTGTATTAACAGCATAGGAAAGCAGAAGGAGAATCAGAAGTTCCAGTTTGGTTACAGGAATTCGAGGCCAGCCTAGTATATATGAATCTTGCCACAAAGAGGGGAAAAGAGCAGGAGGTGGGGAGGGGAAGAGAGCGAGGGAGGGAGGGAGGGAGAGAGAGAGAGAGAGAGAGAGAGAGAGAGAGAGAGAGAGAGAGAGAGAGAGAGAGAATAATCAAGTAACAAGGGTAGCTATTAATGTTTTTCTTATATGAAAAAAGTTTAAAAGGACAGGCCTTTTTCAATGTAAAACAACGGTTGCTATATGTCAACACTTAAGGCTTGTCAGTTGGATCCACGGATCCTTTTGTAGCCTGTAAGTGTAGTAACTGGGTTTTAACACCATTATGTGAGATGTGCCTCCTTTAACACCATTGCATGTAGGCACAATATTGTCTGACATGAAAAAAAAAATGCCAGTTACCCAGTGGTACTCCGGGCCATGGAATAGGAGGTCTTTTAGGGTAGTCCTCATAAATGATTTCTTGTCAAAGATCACTGTGTGGGGGGCTTGTTAAAATGTATATGCTGGGCCTGGGGGTCTGGTGTGGGACAGGTGCATCTGCATTTTTTTCTTTAAAATACTTATTTTTTATTCTTTTTTTTTTTTGGAGACAGGGTTTCTTTTCTTTTTTTAAAGATTGATTTATTATGTATACAGTGTTCTGTCTGTATGCTTGCTGGCCAGAAGAGGGCGCCAGATCTCATTACAGATGGCTGTGAGCCACCATGCTGTTGCTGGGAATGTGAACTGAGAACCTCTGGAAGAGCAGTCAGTGCTCCTAACCTTTGAGCCATCTCTCCAGCCCTGAGACAGGGTTTCTCTGTAGCTTTGGAGCCTGTCCTGGAACTAGCTCCTGTAGGCCAGGCTGGCCTTGAACTCACAGAGATCTATCTGCCTCTGCCTCCCAAGTGCTGGGATTAAAGGCGTGCGCCACCACTGCCCGGCTTATTTTTATTCTTTAGTTATGTGTGCACATATGCACATGCACGTATGTGCCCCAGGAGGCCAGAGAAGACCCAAGATCCCCTGAAGCTGGAGTTCCAGATGGTTGTGAGCCACCTGATGTGGGTGACAGACCCAAACTTGGGTCCTCTGCAGGAGGAACGCATACTTTTGATTGTTCAGCTGTCTCTCCAGTCTCGAGGTTCTGCGTTTTAAAATGGCCCAGTGGATGCCCGTGTGTAAGACATGCTTTGGGTAGCAAGGTTTTAGAAAATTCTCTGGTGGACCAACAATAATGAGAACCTCTTGTAAATTAACAATGCTGAGAGAATAGATCGTCAAAGTCAAAAACAAAACGAGAGAGCATGCGTGCATGTGTGTGCGCGCACGCACATATGTGCACGCACGCAAATGCGCACGCACGCATGCGCAAATGCGCATGCATGCACAAATCATTATCCTATTCTACAACAGCGAAACTCAGCCTGTGGGTTGCGATCCTTTGGGGGAAGGGTCAAAAGGCCCTTTAACAGGGGTCTCCTAAGACCACTAGAAAACACGTTTACGTTAGGATTCATAACGGTAGCAAAATTACAAATATGAAGGAGCAACAAAAATAATTTTACGGTTGGGGGTCACCACAGCAAGAGGCACTGAATTAAAGGGTCGCAGCATTTGGAAGGTTGAGAACCACTGCTCTAGAGCTATTTGACCTGCCTTGGCGCCTTTGGAAAGAACACTGATCATCTATATATAGATACAGTTCTATTTTTTTCTGGAGGATCCTATGTGTGTCTTTATGCCACATTTTTCTGTCTTGATTACAGTAGCTTTGCCTAACTTCCTTTGTTCCTCCCCTTTCACTTGCTGTGCCTGCTAGGAACACCCGAGAGAGGCGGCTGGGAACCGACGAGGACGTGCAACAAGAAATGGAGATTCTGGCCGGGCGGTGGTGGCGCACGCCTTTAATCCCAGCACTTGGGAGGCAGAGGCAGGAGGATCTCTGTGAGTTCGAGGCCAGCCTGGTCTACAAGAGCTAGTTCCAGGACAGGAACCAAAGCTACAGAGAAACCCTGTCTCGAAAAAAAACAAAACAAAACAAAAAACCAAAAAAAAAAAAAACCAACCAACCAAACAAACAAAAAAAACCCAAGAAATGGAGATTCGGAGGGGAATTCTGCAGCTAAGTGTGCTGGCTGAATTCCTCTTTTCCTCTTCCCTTAGAAGTGAAATTACAGGGGCTGGAGAGAGGGCTCAGTAGTTATGAGAATTGGTTGCTCCTCCAGGAAACCCGGGTTCAATTCCCATCACCCGCCTGGAGGCCCATGACTGTCTGTAAATCCAGTTCCAGGGGATCCGATGCCTTTTTCTGGCCTCCCCAGGCACGTAGCATGCAGACGTGCAGGCACCAGGCAGGCACGTAGTGCGCAGACATGCAGGCAAACACTTCCAACACATAAGAATAATAAAAGTATTTTCAAAGATAAGTGGATTTAGACTAGACATCTGAACGAACTAAAACTGGCCCACTTATATAAAGAAATAAATGAGGGCCTGGAAAGATGGCTTAGCAGTTAGGAGCACTGATTTCTCCTACAGAGCATAGGAGTTCAATTCCCAGTACTCACATGGTGGCTCACGACCATTTCCAATTCCAGTTCAAAGGCATCTTACATCCTCCTCTGACCTCCTCTGGCATCAGACTGGAATGTGGCATACAGATATATATTCAGGTAGAACACCCATATACATAATAAAATGAGCCGGGTGGTGGTGGCGCACGCCTTTAATCCCAGCACTCGGGAGGCAGAGGCAGGCAGATCTCTGTGAGTTCGAGACCAACCTGGTCTACAAGAGCTAGTTCCAGGACAGGCTCCAAAGCTACAGAGAAACCTTGTCTCGAAAAACAAAAACAAAAACAACCCCAAAAAAACAACAACATAATAAAATGAAAGAGTAAATGAATTTAAGGCTAGGGAGGTAGCTCATTTGGTACAGTGCTCACCTGGTGCCCAGCACACATGAAGAAGCCCTGGGTTTGAGCTCCGCCACTGCACACACCAGATGTGCTGCATACCTGTTATCCTCGCACTCTGGAAGTGGAGGCAGTGCAAGCAGAAGCTCAAGAAGTTCAAGAGTCGGGTGTGGTGATGCTCGTTTCTGATCCCAGAGCTTTAGGGGGAGAGGCAGGCAGATCTCTGAGAGTTCAAGGCCAGCCTAGTATATGTAGAAACTTCCGGGGATAGTCAGGGCTACACAGAGAAACCTTTTCACAAACAAACAAATACTGAAAAGAAATAAGTAAACAGAAAAGTTGGATCAATTTGATACCAAAAATTTTATTCAAAGAGCAAACATGTAAACTTAGAATAAGAACAATCCCTCCCCCCATTGCAAACTTCAGAAGAAGTCTGTTTTGAAGAGGAATGAAAGGGACAGGGGCAGTCCAAACTGTCCTCTTCAAGTTGGGTATGTTCTGCTCATTAAAAGACCATTATAGTGTTCACCGAAACAGCCAGGCTGAATACTACTATAGCATCTTCATAACAAGAACAAACACAGTTCTAAAATTTCATTATAAAATGAAGGCAACACCATGAACTATTAGGACTGACTACTCTAATAGTAGTGACAGCTGCAGCACTTTAGGGAAGGCGTAGCAGTGAGTACATTTTCTTTCTTCTTTGGTATAGTTTATAGAACTTTAATAACACTGAAACGTATTTCTAAAACATATGTACAAGTCATTAAAGAGCCTGTGTAAGTGCAAGAGAGCTTTCTTCACGCCGGCTTCCGCCTACACACCTGAGAGTCAAGAGCGCCTTTCCAAGGTCAGGATGAAGATGTAAGTCCTACAACCATCCAGACTTTCTACTAATACACACTTGGATGCTAAACAGCTTAATTCTGGCTTTCTACTTATGTGTGAATAAACACATGTACATACTAACTCAAGTTCTTACAGATTTCATGTGAGACTCCTTAACATTTTCCCTCCGCAAACTCCATTTGAAGTGCAGTTTTTTATGCTCTGAATGATACTTCTATTGTTCAGTTGATGGGATTCCCCCAGTCCCTATGCTTCCCGGTCCAAGGACCTCACTCAACTGGCTCAGTCAGCTTCCTTTACTCTCTCCTCCTTCCTACAGTCCTCCACAAGTCCCTCTGAGACTGGAGAGAGTTTCTTCTGATGTGATCTCCTCATTTCCTCTCCTCAAAGGAGAGGCTGGAAGGGTATTTATGAGGCTGCTTAGTGGGACCCAGGGGTATGTACGATCCTTCAAAGTGCTTCAGGGAAGGCGAGATCCTATCCGGAGACATTTTCTTTTCAGGAGGATGGGATGAGGAAGCTTCCAAGATCTTGGAGCTCCAGTAGCCGGTTCTCAATCTAGTGAAGATCATTCGGACAGGTTCGACTGGAACGTGGTTGGACTTTGTATAACAGGACTCAGTGAAAGAGTGGGAGAAATTCAGGAAAGCTCCGCTGGGTGGAGGCTGTTGTTCAACACTGGTCACTTGAGGTAACCCTTTTGGGTCAATTTGACTGGCACTAGAACATGGCACATCATGAAAAGCCTCCAACATAGGCTTCTGCTGTTTCTGAGATAAGTTTATTTGCCATTTCTCCTGAGGATTTTGGATAATCTGGCTGGGGAACTGGAGATTTCCCTCATGGGTTGCCTCGAGGCTATCTGGATGTGTGGTGAAGTACACACAGGGGTGTTTATCTTCATTGGAACACTGGGCTAGTGACTGAGTGTTCAGCATGTGGCCCATCTCCTGCACTTTGGAAGCAGCCTGGGGAACTCGATAGAAGCAATCCTTTGTGCTTTGGTCTGCTGGATTCTCACTGAAAGCTGGGTTCTCACCACTGTGCCCAAATGCTGTTTGTGGCATGTTAGGGACCTCCAAGGTCTGACATTTCTCTTCCTTAAGAGGTAAGATATTAGTGTCTTCTCTGGAAGGTGCTGTATCACACACGTGTTCCTCATCAGATTTCTTGACTGATGGCAGATTAGTTTGAGTGGACTTCGCGGATGATCTCCTCCTTATATGGATACATGTTGGTCTGTTTGGACGCCTCAGATGGTTACCAAAAGGTGCCAAATCCTTCCAACACGGCGGCCTCCTCTTTGGGGGCTTCTTGGGATATTTAAGCAGGAGCGCCCACCTTTGCTTCTCTTGTCTTTCTCTGTCTTTTCTCTCTCTCTCTGTCTCATTCCCTGGGTCAGGACCCCAAGGATTCTTTGGCTTTCGTGGGTTCTGGCTCTCCCTTTCCTTCCTAAAGCCCAAGGGCAGTGGGACCATGGCACCATCCCAAGTCTTCATAGGGCACTTCCTGCTTTTTAAAGTGTGTCCAAAGGCCCCACAGTCAATGCATTTCATCCCGGGATCCTCTACTGGTGGGGGGACTTTCTGTACCCTTGGCATTCTCAGATTCTGTAAATTTTGAATTTCAGTGTTTTTGTTAGGAAAAGTTTTCATGTAAGGGTCTACCACTTGAGCCATCATTTTGGAGTCTTGTCAGTCTTCCTCGGGTTTGCTGATTTGGGGTTTTCTAAAACCCAGATATCTTCCTACTGTCTGTTAGCAGGTTCTCAGACAGGTGGATGGCGGAGACACAGCAGGGCATGTGATGAAGCTTACAGGATGCTGGAGAAAAGGGAAGCCACATTTTCTTTTTTATATCACTGGGCTATTTCCTCCCCCTACAACATTTACTTCAGGAATAAACAAAAAATTAATGAAGTTATTATACCATGTTTTAATGTTTAAATACTGTTTTTGAGTGACTTCTTCCTTTTGAGGTTGTCATTTTCTTAACCCTAACAACGGGGACAGTGGGATTGACCCAGGAGAATTTCAGTTCCTGGAAAAGTCTGATTATATAATCTTACAATAGAAACGATCGGTGGTATTTTATTGAAACAACCTCATCTTAATCTAACGATGAACATGACATGAATTTATCCCTCAAGAGTAAGATGAAAATATACTTCTCATGCCTGAAGTGATGGTGCATGCCTTTAATCCCAGCACTTGGGAGACAGAGACAGGTAGATCTCTGTGAGTTCGAGGCCAGCCTGATATACAAGAGCTAGTTCCAGGACAGGCTCCAAAGCTACAGAGAAACCCTGTCTCAATAAACCAATATGTATTATACTGTAATATTTGGTTTTTGGAACTTGCTCTGTAGACCAGACTGGCCTTGAGGTGTGCCTGCCTCTGCCTCGCCAGAATTTAAAGTTTTAATGCAAAGAAAGCTGATAAGATATTTTTCTGGGGCTCCATATAAGTAATAGATTTCATGTTTGTTTTTAGTGGAGACACTCTGAAATATCGTGCTTAGGAATAAGCTTGGTGGGCTGACTAATAGCAAAATAATGTAGCCTGTATACTTGGAATGCAATTTAGATATCATATAGATGTTACAAAGCAATATTAATATAAAACATCCATCATGAAACATCACCTTACTTGACGGCTTTAGTAAATCTTTCCCACTGAAATACTTGTAACCATGACCATCGTTTTTAAAAAAAATTTTGAACACGATAAAAGGTGGAAACGTTTCACCACCAAATCTGAAATAAAGATAAAAAAATTAGTGATATGACATCAGTTGTGGGGATCCATTGCTTCTTTCTCATGTACTTAGCACAGCTCATATAGTTTTTCAAATATAGGGCATAGAAAGAATATATAAATGCTGTGGGATTGTCTCCCTGTATGCTGTGAATATATGTTGCCCACATTGGTTGATAAATAAAGCTGTTTGGCCTATGGCAAGGCAGTATAGAGCCAGGCAGGAAATCCAATCAGAACTACAGGAGAAAAAGGGCAGAGTTTTGGAGACATCAGCCCCACACGGAGGAAGCAAGACATATAAAAAAATGAGGTAGCAAGCCACAAACCACATGGCAAAGCATAGATTAAAAAATACGGGTTAATTTAAATGTAAGAGCTAATAATAAGCCTTAGCCATCAGTCAAGCATTTATAAGCAATATTAAGCCTTTGAGTGTTATTTGGGAACTGGTAGGTGGGAGAGAAATGGCCATTTGCATATAAAGATCAAGCAAAGGAATGGACACATGGTGGTGAGACCGTATGTCAATTTATAGCCAGAGTCATGTCTTAGCCTTTTACATAACAAATGCAAACAGGGAAATACTTACTTTTAAACTTTGTCGTGAAAAATAATCAGTATTAAAAAAATCATTTCTATTATTTCTTCTCTGAAAATAAGTCAGCATAGTTACATTACCTGAATCTGACTTTACACTTCACGCTAGGATCTTTAACAAGTGCAGCCTCTACGGGGCTCACTCTCGTCAGCAGTTCGTGCGCCACACAATATTCCTGAAATAGAGGACAACACTGTAAACAGAAAGTGGTGTCCTGTCCAGATGTCATTTACTGATTACGAGAATGGAAGCAGCCTCATAGTGGAGGCACACACCTTTAATTCCAGCACTCAAAGAGGCAGAGGCAGGTGGATCTCTGTCACTTAGAGGCTAGCCTGGTCTACAGAGCAAGCTCCAGAAGAGCCCAGAAAACAAAACGACAACAACAAAAACATTGGAAGCATAGTGAAATGAAGCCTGAGCGCAGGGCTCTAAAGAGGTGAATTTCTACTCTTGACTCCTCAATTTATCGTCTATGCAGCCTTTTGCCTGTTATTTCAACTCAGGGGTCTCCAAATGTGAGTATCCACGCCTTTTGAGATCGCAGGCATTTGAGATTCCTATGAAAACACTTTCCTGCAATCTATTGAATTTATCTATGGACTTATCCGTATCTCCAACTAGATTATAAGCATCACGTAGGTAGAGAGAGCATCTTTCTTCTTTGTTATTATTCCTAGCATCTAATACAGTACCCTGAAACACACAAGAAACTTAACAAGTGTTTAATGTTAAATGAATCATGGTAATATGGGGATGATAATGGTATTAAGTGACTAATTTTTAAGTACCTTTTATTTACCATATAATATGGTGGTATCATAGTCATCTATCTCTATCTATCTATCTATCTATCTATCTATCTATCTATCTATTATTTATTATATATCTATCTATCTCCTCATTTAATCCTAAGAATATTATCTATCTCCTCATTAATTAAGAATATTAATAATATTAATTAATTAAGAATATTATCTATCTCCTCATTTAATCCTAAGAATATTATCACTCAGTTCATAGATGAGAAAGATAGGTCTCAAACTTAGATTTTTTGACTCTAAAATTGCCATTCTTTTCCTTAAATGACTCTATTCAATTTTATGCCTGTGATAATTCCATAAAATGTACAATAATAGTATTTTTAACAAGATAAAGCATTTTTCCTTGTTTTTATTTTTTGAGACAGGATTTCTCTGTGTAGCCCTGGCCATCCAGGAACTCACTCTGTAGACTAGACTGGCCCTGAATTTAGAGATCTCCCTGCCTATGCCTCCAGAGGGCTGGGATTAAAGGCATGTACCACCACCGCCCGGCTAAGATAAGGCATTATTAATGTGAAGTATTACTGTGAAGCACTGGAACAAAGATGTAAAAAAAATAGCTTATTAACTTCATTTATTTACTGAAATTATGAGAAATCAGTAACACAATAATTAAAAATGAATTCTGTATGGTAATACATACAGGTCTGTGGGTAAGGTAGTGAAGAAGTATACATACTGCTCAAACTTTCTCAGGGCTGCAAAACTCCTCTAATGAGAATATCAGAAGATAGCAGACTACTTTAAGCAAGGCTTAATACTCTGCTGAGTTTCCAGGGTTTCTTTCTTTCTTTTTTTTTTCAGGGAAGGAGGATGGGCATCTGTGATTTTTATTTAAATAGGATTATATCCCTCATACCACTCTGACTTGCCCTTTTCACTAACAAGCTGTCTTGGCTATCTTTGTATTTGTAGACTCGTGTTAATACTGCAAGCTCTACACGTGAAGGCAGAGGCATTTCCTTTCTTGCATGAACCAATGCTGCAATGAAATGATATTGTAGAATGTGCTCCTAGAAGTGAAACTGTTGGCGATGGCTCAGTGCTTTGCTTCTCAGCACTCACCCAGCGGCTCACAATTGCTTGTAACTCCAGTTCCAGGGGATCTTCCGCCCTCTTCTGACCTCTGCAGGCTCTTTCATGCACATAAACTCACTCAGGCTCATGTACATACACACACGTATAATAAATAAATTCTTTTAAAAAAAGAAGTGAAACTGCTGGGCAAAAGTGCACTTTGAAATTCAGGGTTTTTTCCCTGAAGTGTTGGGGATCAAACCCAGGGCTTCACACATGATAATACACATTCTACCACTGAGCTACACCCCTTGTTGTTCTTCTTTTTTTTTTCTTTCTCTGAAACAGGGTTTCTCTGTAGCCCTGGCTGTCCTAGAACTCACTCTGTAAATCAGGCTGGTCTCAAACTTGGCAATCTGCCTGCCTCTGTCTCCAGAGTGCTGGGATTAAAGGTGTGCGCCACCATTGCCTGGCTTACACCCTCAGTTCTTAATTCAGAGATTTAATGGTTAGATTTGAATTAAAAATAACTAAAATACAACTGCAATAATTTCAGAAAAATAGTAACACTCATTCATATTGAAAATAAATCCAGAGGGCTGGAGAGATGGCCCTGAAGTTAAACATCTTGACTGATCTTTCAGAGGAACCAGATTTCATTCCTAATGCTCACATTACAACTGTCTTTCACTCCCCAGTCCCGGAGAATCCAATGCCCTCTCTGGTCTCTACAGGCATTGCATGCCTAGGTGCACAGATGAACCTGAAGGCATCCATACACATAAATAAAATAAAAATAAATAGATCTAAAACAATCAACCGGAAATAGTCATTAAGATTAATGAAGAAGCAATTTTATAACTTTACACAATCTTACTATATCTAAGTCAAAGAGATAACTAGGGTTATTTGTTCTCTCTGTAATTAGTTAAGAAGTAGCTGCCAGAGGAAAAAAAACCACCTACCGCTGCACAAACTGTGTGTTTTAGGAGTTTAAACAATGTTTTGTCCGCATAAATGAACCAGGCCTTCTGTATTATTTTTGCTGAAATATTTCTATTAATTATAAGAGGAAAAGAGGTTAGCAATTTATGAAGTACTTTTCATTTTCCTAAAATCTTCAACAAGTTTCAACGTATGCATCCTCTTAAATTTCCCCATTACTAAGTCTGACCTAATAAGGAACATTTGGATGGAGCAATTGGAACTAGTTTTTGTAGTCTCTAATCAGAATGAGAATATGGAATAGTTAATATTTCCCCTGAGATTAAAAAAAATCAGCTAAAATTTTATCAAGACACACACATAAAGCCAGTCATGGTGGTTTATTCTTATATTCCCAGCAGTTAGCAGGTGGAGGCAGGAGGATCAAGAATTCAAGACCAACTTTGGGCCAGGTGGCACTCGGGAAGCAGAGGCAGGTGGATCTCTGTGAGTTCGAGACCAGATTGGCCTACAAGAGCTAGTTCCAAGATAGGCTCCAAAGCTACAGAGAAACGTAGCTTTGACTACACAGTGAATTTGGGTTGAGGCTACAGTCCTAGTGTGTGTGAGACATTTTCTCTCTCCCTCCCTTCCTCTCTCCCCCAATCTTTCCTTTCTCCTCTCTCTTCTCTCTCTGAGACAGTCTCATGACTCTGAAGAGGTGGATACACAACTGAGTATGACCTTAAACTTCTGATCCTCCTGCCTCTAACTTCTTAGAGCTGGGATTATACCAGGCCTGGGTTTATGTGGTGAAGGAAATTGAGTCAGAGACTTGTACACACTAGGTAAGAACTCTACTATGTATATCCTTAGTCAGAAATCCTGGGGTTTAACTCCTACTACTATTGGGGAGTTGGGGGTGGAAGAGAGAGGGAAGGGAGGAAGAGGGAGGGGTGAGAGGATAGAAGGGAAAGGGATGGAGATAGGATACGAATAAATAGAAGGTGTGAGAAGGCAAATTTGCCTTCTAAAAGCATTCATGGGGCTGGTGAAATAGGTTTGTGGGTAAAGAATGAGAACCTGAGTTTGGTAGCCCAAAACCATATAAAATGATAGATGTGTTTGCAAATGCTTGTAATCCCAGCACTGGGGAAGTGGAGGCAGGTGGATCCCCAAGGCTTCTAGGCAAGTCAGCCTAGCCTTGTTAGTGAATTCCAGTTCAGTGAGAGAGCGTCTCTCAAAAACTAAGGTAAAGGGCTTGGGAAATGGCTCAGTTGGTAAAGATTGCTGAGCAAGCCCGAGCCCCCATGTAAAAGGTGGGTGCTGTGGTGCACTTCCGTAATCAGGGCACTGGGTGGGGTGGGTGCAGGCAGGATTCCAGTTGAAGCTGTACACTCCAGATTCAGTGTGCGACCCTATGTCGAGAAACAAATACACGAAGTGGAGAGTGACAGAGGAAGACACTCGGTGTCTACTTCTGACTTCTGATTTCTGTCCGTACGCGTACAGGGCAGGTGGGTGCTCCTGTGTAAGCGCATACACACCCTCCCACCCTGCCCCCACTTAGAGGTGTAGGAAGATCTCTGACCTTCACACGCACACATCCAAGCGCACGCACATCTGCACAAACTTGCACGCACCCACACGAGCATGCACATGCACTACAGCAATCCGCTACTTTATAGTCAGGCTCTTACAAAAGTTCAGACAGGGTCTCACTATGGACTGCGGAGTGGCTGGGAACTTAGTCCAGGCTGGCCTCAGACTCAAGATCCTCCTGCCTCAGGTCCTTTGTGCTGGAATTACAGGCAGTTAGTTACTAAAAGCACGGTCTAGCTGACTGAAGTGCATTGAAAATGTAACCTAGGATAGTTGAATTGACACGAGGCCCCATTGCTTTTCTAGGGGCTTATGAGTGTGACCTCGAAAAAGAAATTCCCTTTTCTGATCTTTGCTCCAGCAAGGCTCACTCCAGTGCAGCTAGAGAAAGAATTTCCTTTAGATAATGTCCCAGTAGTAACTGATTCACAGGTCTCTCCTCCAGTGCTCTCCCGCCCAGTCAGTGTCTCCTGTAGGGCTATCAGCAAAGACAAGGACATCTGTCCAATCTCCCCGCTAGCTGGCAAGATGTAGACTTAGAGAACAAAAGGCCCAAGAAGGGCTGGGAAAAGAACTCAGCTGCTAAAAGCCTACCATGCAAGCATGAGGACTCGAGTTTGCTCCTTAGAGCCCACATAAAAATGCCTGGCATGGTGGCATGTGCTTGCCATCCCAGTGCTGGGGATGTGGAAACAGGAGGACCCCCGAGCTTGCTGGTTAGCTTAGCCTAATTGAAAAACCGTAGGCCAATGAGAGAGTGTATCTCAAAGGAGTTGAACGGCATTCCTAGAGATGACACTCAAGGTTGTCACATGCACACACACATATAAACAACCAAAAATAGAAAAGGGCTTGGTGGTGCCAGTGCACGTCTTTAATCCCAGCATTTAGGAAGCAGAGGCACGCAGATCTCTGTGAGTTCAAAGCCTGCCTGGTTCACAGAGTGAGCTCCAGGACTGCCGGGGTTGTTTCACAGAGAAACCCTGTCTGAAAAAAAGAAAATCCCATGGATGGTGGTGCATGCCTTTAATCCCAGCATTTAGGCAGCAGAGGCACACAGATCTCTGTGAATTCTAGGCCAGCCTGGTTCACAGCGTGAATTCCAGGACTGCCGGGGTTGTTTCACAGAGAAACCCTGACTGAAAAAAAAAAAAAAAAGAAAATTAAAAAAAAAAGAAAAAAGAAAAGCACCCAGCACCTGAGAACAGAGGCAGGCAAATCTCTGTGAATTCCAGGCCAGTCATCCCTCTTAAAAAAAAAGAAAAAGAAAGAAAGAAAAAGACCCAAAGTACAGAAATAAACCTTTTGAATTCTAGCTGATGCCATTCATTAACTGGTTTAACTTTCTTCCCAGCTGTGTTTTTTTCTCCCTTTCTTTAAGATTTAAAAATATTTTAATTACATGGATGTATGTGTCTGCGCCTGGGCTTGGGCATGTCAGTGCAGGTCCTCAGAGGCCAAAGGTATTGCATCCTGTGGAACTGGAATTTCAGGTAATTGTAAGGCACCTAAGGTGAGGGGTCCAAATCACTGAGCCATCTCCCCAGTGCTCTTTCACTTACTTACAATGTGCACTAACAAAACTGTTTCAGAAGGCTGCAGGATTAGCAAGCAGGCGTGTGACTACACTTTGCAAATTATAAAATTCTAAAGCTATAATATTCAACTTGAAGGGAATTTTTTTTAAACCACCAAAATTTTAATTTACACATTAACGAATGTTTAAAGTTATCTGAGTAAACTCAGGCAAGTTTAGCTCAGGGAGGTGGGGCACACCTTTAGCCCTAGCCCTCAGCAGGCAGAGGCAGATGAATCTCTTTGAGTTTGAGGTCAGCCTGGTTTATAGAGGGAGTTCCAGGACAGCCAGGGCTACACAGAGGAACCCTGTCGTGTAAACAAACAAACAAAAACACAGAAAGCATACAAACAAACAAGCAACCCGGGTAAGTTTGTAATTTGTCTAGTTGTGGAAAAACGACAAAAGGCAAAAAGATGGCTTCTTACTCTTTTCTTGCCTTTATCTTTGCAGCACGTGCCGACTGTGTCTTGTGGCTTTTTTCTGAGAGCTGACTATCTGATTTTGGAGCACCAGTAACTGCTGTGTTTGAGGACTTTTTCATTTTCCCTACAAAGAAGTAATCTGAACACATACATTAAGCTATTAAAGTCATAATCCTCACATTATTACATTTGGACTAGACTTAAATGTCATATGATTGTTGTGTTAATTTTAGAATCCCTTTAAAAAGAAAGCATTGTGCGTCTAGTGTCGCTTACAGTTTATGTTCTTTTATGAAACTGTCGTGTGGTTGTGGGAAAGACAGTGAATCTATGCATACCCTCCTAATTGGCCCCCTCTCTCCTAGCTTTTTCCTCCTATTCACCCTACAGTGGAAGTGAATGTTTCTTCTTGTGACGCAGGGTCTCCTGTAGCTGAGGCTGGCCTCTCATTATGCATAGAGGAGAGCCTTAAACCGATTCTCCTGTCCCAACGCCCCACGTGCTGGCATTTGCAGCGGCTCACCACCACACCTGACTCTGGAAGCTAACCCTTTGGAGCAGTAATTCAGGGATATTCATTCTCACAAATTCCTTAGTGGCAGGAAGTACTTTGCTGACTATGGAAACCGGGCAGAGGGTTTTTACACATTTTCTGTCGAGTTTTTGGTCCAGTTTTTATGAGCCATCTCCCCAGTCCTCTTTTAGTTTGCTTACTTGTGAGACTTTGTGCAAATTACATAATCCCCCCGCCCCCAGTGGCTCAGTGCCCCTTTGGTGATGTGAGCAGGCACGTATGAAATTATTTGAAGCTGCCTGTATTTTTTTTTTTGTACTCTTTTGAAGGATTACATTCCAGTTTGGATGAAGCTCTCAAAATCTTAATTATATCTTCAAAATACCCTTTAAAAATGAAATTGCAGTACGATGTGTCTTTTTTATGCATAAAACAAAAACTTAATAACCACTGTACTTTTGTAGTAATGAGCACAAGTGATATTTTTAGTCGGCTGCCGTGACTGTAGGTGGTGTGAAAATATCTCCGCTTTCTATTGGTGACACTCACAGGTACTGCTAATACTGGAGGCTTGTTGCCTCCACGTACTTGGAAGAAATGCTGAAGTTCAGGCAGAGTTTAGTGGAGGTGAAACTGTCAGCTCCCTCTTTCCCTGGTTCCTGTACCCCGAGCACGAAGAGCTCCCGCTGTGATTTCTCACCGTGCTTCGCACTTCTAAGATATTACCTTACTGATGCAGAGCCTTCGGGATCTAGTCAGTATTTCTCCTTTGGGATCGGAGATGGGGTGGCTTGGAACATACAATTCTGTTGAGAAGGAAAAAAGCTGCCCTTAACATTTGGGGGTTGCTCTGGCACTCGGTCGAGCCTTAGCGTTTTTCCCACCCTGAAGCTTGCTAACACTTCCAAGTCCTGCTTTAAAAAATACTTAAACCACATATCACCAAGTCAAAACTCAAATATTACGACAAATTTAACACTTTCTTACTGGAATGCTCCAGTTTTCCCCAGGTGGGCGTTTTTGTTGTTGTTTTGTGGTTTTTTTTTTTCTTTCGCAGAAAAAAAACCCTAATTTCTTCAAGGGCAGGTAGTTTCTAGCACCATCTTTGGACAAGAGGACAGTGACCTTCCATTGAACAAACCTCCAAATCGTCAGAATGCCCATGTGGCTTCCATCTTCTGTCAAATTAGGACAGAAAGGCAGAACGAAATACGAATTACACCATCTTTCTGGTTCGGGCTAGCGTTTGCCGAGACTGCGCAGAGATTTAAAAGGCCGACTATCTGGAATTGGATCCTAGCTTTAGATTTTCCGCAGCGCAGCCTTGGCCACTCGGCAATGAGAACAGTGCCTATCGACTTGTGTGGGAGGAATAAAATTACGTCCTTAATAATGCTTGTTTTTCTTGCAAATAGTTAAATACCATCACTTACCGTCTACAGGTATTAAATGGGACAAATATTTGATTATCAGATTTACAGTTTAGTACTTTTCTTTTTAAAAATATCAATTTTTCGCGATTAAATGACGTGGGGCATTTAGTTTAACCTAAAAATTTAAGGAACATTCAGTATACGGTACATTTTTTAGGGAAAAAAACCTTATGTGAGGTAACTCGAAGCCCCACCGTCGATCCGCAGCTTCTCCCTAAGAGGCTGGCGCAGCCTTCCCGGGTCCGTCGGGCGCCACCGCCTGGCTACTTCAGTTCACAGGGCTGCCATATGGCACAGCCTAGTGCCTAACGGTGGAGGTGGAGGCGAAAGTAGGTTCGCGGCACGGCAGAGTGCCAAGGAGCCGCCCTCTTACCACAGCTTGCCGCCGACACGGAGCTCCAGCCTTAAGCCGCCTAGCAACAGCCCTCAGGGAGGCAAAACCGCCAAGAAGGCGGGGCTTGCGTTCGTCTGGCTCCCGCGCGTGGGCGACGTCGGTTGCTAAGCAACGTGACGCGCTGTCTAGCGGTGTTTGATTGGCTCTTTTGAACTGGAGGCGGGGAGCAACAGAATCTCGTGCGCCCCAGCCCGCTCGCGGTCAAGGGAATCAGGATCTAACCCGGCCACCGTAGTCGCTTTTCTATAGTGGGCGGGACCAAGAGAGGGGTGACCCTGTCGGAGCTGCGGCTGCCAGCAACATGTTCAAGGTGAGAGAGTGGAACCGGGTCACGGTTGTCATCTCCCCCTCTCCGACGCCGGGAGCCCTTCCCACGCTCCCGTGGGGCCTTTTTTTGTGGATCAGACTCGGCTCCCCCCGAGGCTTTGCCCACCTCCGGGCTGGCTAAGTCCTGGCCCGGCGATTCATTCACTGCTTGGTACCAGCACCTGTGAGGCTGAGGCTTGGAACCCTAGATGGGTGGGATTGGCCTTGGGCTAGTTCTTTCGCGAGTGAAACACTATACTACCCACTTCCCCGGCTAATGCCCTTTTGGGTTCGTGGGTAGGATGAGGCCAGGTCCCGACGCTGCAGCCTTTATGGCTTTGGTTGCTTGGCAGGATCGGGTTTCAGAACCTGGCGTGTGGGTGGGGGGAGGGTCAGCCTCCGAAGACGTCGGGGAGGCTGAGGAAGGAAAGGCTACGTGGGGGAAGCTGCCGCTTACTCTCTAGTGAGCATCATTGTGGAGAAGTCGACTCATTCCCCTTCCTTACAGGTGTTTTTTTTTTTTTTAACACCTGCCCACCATAAGGTAGGCATTTACAGTGAAGACTTTCAAAAACCTGTATTTTAGCATTAAGTTATTCTTTCCTAAAGTCACCTATATTTTGTCATAAAAAATATCACAGGCAGCGCACCCTTTAATCCCAGCACTCAGGAGGCGGAGGCAGGTGAGTTCGAGGCCAATCTGGTTTACATAGCGATTTCCAGGACAACCAGGCCTACAAAAAGAGACCCTTTCTAAAACAAAACAAAACACAACACACATCAGCAGCCCCAAATCTATAAAATCAGCCCTCCAAGAAACGTAATATTCACAGAATAGTGCCAATACAACCTCAAAATTGTGCTCCCCATTTAAAAGTTTCTTGCAGCTGTAGTGTTCGGGGCACATTAATAAGGGCTGCAAAATCAGATCATGGTCTCTGCCTCCCAGTGCTGTGGTATTGCCAGTGCCTAGCTATGTGATAGTGGGCATGTCACGTAACTCCTCCATGAGTGTTTTTTTTCTATTGGTTGAAGTTAGGGTAATAAACGTCTAATTGTTAACTACTGAGGAGAATTAACTCCCTAAACCCAGAGGAAGGATGGACACTGAATGCATTGATTTGTTGGCTCACTATCATCAAAGATGTGGCTCCTGGGTTTACTATGGCATTGTCGATTTTCCTTATGGTTGCAAGCTGACTGCCAATAACAATACTTTGTCATTCACTAGGGGAAGAGGAGAGGATAAAACTTCCACGCTTGGATTATGTTTTTCCTTCAGGTCTGATTGGACCAACATGGGTCAGGTATCTGTCCCTAGCCCCATAACAGTTACCAGGGGAATGTTGGGCTCTGGTTAGTTTAAGTTAACCAGGATCACTTTGCTTAAACACGTGGGAAAGGAATGGTTTCCTGACCACAGTGCGGTTCTTCAGGGAGGAAGAGGTGTAGTGGAAAGTGGAACCACAACCAGCAGTGCCCACGTCCGGTATATTCATGAGTCTGTGTACGTGTTCATTGACTTGGGGTCTTTGAAACTCTTTCGTGATCGTCATACATGTAAGTTAATTGATGGAAATGAAAGATTGACACAGATGGATGACTCAGATAAGTTTTTTTTTACAGGAGTGAGAAAGAGGGAAGGAAAAGAATGTTGTGATTGTAGAACAGTGGTTCTCAGCTGACTGGTACCACCCCCTTTGGGTATGTTTTGGAAATTCCAGGGGTTGTTCTTTGTGTCTTTAGTTGTGTTGAACATTTGTTTTAGTTTTAATTTTTTTTATCTTATGTGTATTAATGTTTTGCCTGCATGTATGTCTGTGTACCACACACGTGCCTGGTGCTCACAGAGGCCAGAAGAGGGCACATGATCCACTGGAACTGGAGTTACAGATGGTTGTCAGAGGTCATATGGGTGCTGGGGATGGAACCTGGGTCCACTTCTCTCAGTGTTGTGCCCCGTCTGGTCCAGACCCGTGCAGGCCCTGTGCATGCTGCAACAGTTTCTGTGAATCCATCTGTGTCTGTTATGCTGTGTTTAGAAGGCCTTGTTTCTTTGGTGTCCTTCATCCCCCTTTGGCTTTTATAATCTTTCCTCCTCTTCCACAGGGTTCCCTGACCCTGAGGGGAGGGATTTGATGGAGACATCCCATTTAGGACTGAGTGTTCCAAGGTCTGTCACTCTCTGAATATTGTCCATTTATGGGTCTCTGTGTTTGTTCCCATCTGTTGTAGGAGGAAGCTTCTCTGGTGATGGTTGAGGAAGGCACTGATCTATGAGTACAGCAAACTATTAGGAGTCATTTTATCGTTACATTCTTTAGCAGAACAGTAGTGTTTAGTTTTCCCCTATGTCCCTGGGCCTAGAAAGTCTCAGGCTCTTGGGTACGTGTGCAGTGTCAGGCATGGGTTCATTTTTATGATATGGGGCCTTAGTTCCAATCAAATAGTGATTGGTTACTTCCACAATTTTTGGCACTTTTTTTTTTTTTTTTGCTTTTTCGAGACAAGGGTTTCTCTGGTTTTGGAGGCTGTCCTGGAACTAGCTCTTGTAGACCAGGCTGGTCTCGAACTCACAGAGATCCGCCTGCCTCTGCCTCCCAAGTACTGGGACTAAAGGCGTGCGCCACCACCGCCCGGCAATTTTTGGCACTTTTGCACCAACATATGTTTTAGGCAGGTCACCATTGTTGATCACAGGGTTTGTAGCTGGGTTGGTGTTTACCATTCTCCTCTGGTAGTATACAGAGTACCTCCAGTACTATATTATGCATAAAAATAAGTATATGCTATATATAAATAAAATCGTGTATGTCAGTGAATGAAAAAATTTTATTGTGTTACCAGGTAATAGCAGTTGAGAGCCACAGTCCATCAAACTTTAATGTGCGTGTGACTCTTGTTAAAATCTAGAGTGGGATGGCCCTTCAGATGCTCCTGTTTATTTTAGCATCTCAGTGTCATTGATGCTGCTGGTCATCACACTTTGAATAGTTAAGAATTTATTTAGTAAGATCCTTAGTGCGTGTTCCCTGTGCTTTTGAAGTTGATGATTTCATGAATAGGGTAAGATTTGGAAGAGGCACTGACCAGAGAACCAAAAAAGGGGGTTGCAAAGGCTCTGCTGAGAGGTTTGCTACTATAAGTCTCTACATAGAAGGGACAGAATAAATGGTAGGGACTGGTCTGGCTTTGAGAATTGCCAGCTTGGAAGGTAGTAGGCTTGATAGTATCGGTGTTGTACTATAGTATAAGGAAGTTCAATGTGTGTAGCTTGTTATGGGTAATGTTTAAACTCTGATCATTGTTTCCTTTTTATTTTATTTTATTTTTTGGAGTTATAAAAGCCCATTTTTTATTTATTTTTTTTTTATTGAGCTTTACATTTTTTCTCTGCTCCCCTCCCTGCCTCTCCCCTCCCCCCTTCAACCCTCTCACAAGGTCCCTATGCTCCCAATTTACTCAGGAGGTCTTGTCTTTTTCTACTTTATACTTTCCATGTAGATTAGATTTTTTTCCTGCTTATTACACAAGTTTTTTTTTTTTTTTTTTTTTTTTTTTTTTTGGTTTTTCGAGACAGGGTTTCTCTGTAGCTTTTGGAGCCTGTCCTGGAACTAGCTCTTGTAGACCAGGCTAGCTTCGAACTCACAAAGATTCACCTGCCTCTGCCCTCCAAGTGCTGGGATTAAAGGTGTGTGCCACCACCGCCCGGCTTACACAAGTTTCTTACTTTTCTATTTCTATTTGACAGAATCAGATAGCTGTTTTTACAGGGTTAAAAAGATGGAACAAAAACCAAAAAAAAAAAAAAAGATGGAACAATTACAGATGAAATGTATTTTCTTTGCTTTATTGGTGTAATTTTGTAGTAATATTTGCCCCCACCCCCAAAGAAAATAAAATGGTTTTCTGTGAGGAAAAGATGTTAGCATCTTTTTTTTAAGCCTCATTTTTTTGTTTTCTTTTAAGACTATTATGGTCTTTATAGTAGATACAGAAGAACTAGGAAATATTAGCTACTTTGGCACAAAACTGCAGAATTGAAAGCTTCTCATAAATAATTCTGTTTGCAAAACCAGAAAGTACCTTTTTTCCTCTTTTCCTTTCCTTTTTTTTGGTTTAGGCAGGTCTCAAATAGCCCAGGGCGGCTTCAGACTTTCTGCATAGCCATGACTGACTATCCTTGAATGCTTAAATTATTTTAGACTTATTTATATTACTTTATGTGTATGAATATTCAACCTGCATGTAATTACCTGCACCATGTGCATGATTGATTGGCGCTCGTGGTGGCTGGAAGAGGGTATTGAATCCCCTGGACCTGGAATCATGGGCAGCTCTGAACCACCATGTGGTGCTAGACACTGAGCCCAGGTCCTCTACAAGGGCAGGAAGAGCTCTTAACCACTGAGCCCTCTCTCCAGCTTTTGGCCTTGAACTGTTTTGAGTTTCCTGCCTTCACCTCCCAAATGGTAGGATTATAGTTAGGTGTCACTCAGTATGCCTTGAAGGTATTTTTTCTTTTGGGGGTTCATAGTGTAAACTTTTCCTATTTTCTTTTTTTTCTTTTTTCTTTTTTTCTTTTTTTTTAGTTTTATTTGAGACAGGTTTTCTCTATAGCTTTTGGAGCCTGTCCTGGAACTAGCTCTTTTAGACCAAGTTGGCCTCATACTCAGAGATCTTCCTGCCTCTGTCTCCTGAGTTCTGGGATTAAAGGCATGTGCTACCACCGCCTGGCAAAACTTTTCCTATTTCTTTCTTCTCTCGTTTCCTCCCTTCCTGTTCTGTTCTGTTCTGTTCTGTTCTGTTCTGTTCTGTTCTGTTCTGTTCTGTTCTGTTCTGTTTGATTCTTTCTGTTGGGAGTCTTACTCTTTAGCCCAGACTATCCTGGAATTCATTGTCTTACAGTTCCAGGCTGACCTGTAACTGATACGGTTCATAGTGTGAACTTTGCCTATTTCTTTCCCCTTTCTTCCTCCCCTGGCCTGGAATTCACTGTGTAAC